ATAACAAAACCAATTTTACCATAGGCTAATTGATATAAACTTAGAGTGAAGTTCCTACAACATCACAAAAACATCACCAAACTTCCAAATAAGGACTGAAATATTTCTAATATTAAACGTTGAATAAATGTGAGCAATGTATACATTTAAGAAAAAATAATGAAATCGGGTGAGATAATTACCCAGCTTCGTCCAGGTCAAGGTCTCAGGTGGCGAGAGCCTATTCTGGCAGCCCTGGGCACAAGGCAGACACCAGCCCCGGGCGGGACTCCCTTCTATTGCAGGGCGCACTCACACTCACACCCACGTTCACTCAGACTGGAACAATGTAGACATCCCAGTTCGCCTAACATGCAAACTTTTGGGATGTGGGAGGACACCAGAGTACCTGAAGAAACCCAGACATGGGGAGAATGTGCAAACCACACGTGGACAGTGGCCCCGCAGCTGAGAATGGATATTTTTCCTCGGCAATGTTATAATGAAACGACAATGAAAGAAACAATGTTACTCAAGGAACTCCTATATAGAATTTCAGTTTGGGATGATGACAAATTTCAGATGAATGGTGGTGCTGATTGCACAACAACGTGAATGTACTTATGCTGCCAAATAATATACTTGAAAATTGTTAAAATGATAAGTTTTAGGTTATGTATATTTTACCACAATTAAAAAAAAAATGACAGCAGACACCTATTGGGCAAAAAGAAAGTGTGGTAGAAATACGAAAGCACAGAGGCCAGCTGGAGATTCTTCTAGTTTCTGGTAGGAATTGATCGTTCCCTGGAAAAGGGGTGGCAGCAGAAATGAGAGTTTCCATTCCAGATAAAATTGCAGCTCAGACACGATGATGGATTGGCTATGCATGATGAGGAAAATGAGAAATTAAGGATGACTCCTGTATTTTTTGTTTAAACAGCAGTGTGATGTCAGAGTCTGGACATTTGGGTGAGGTCAGAGTTATAGTTAAATCGATATGTACATAGATGGTGTTTCAGGGATTAATTTTAGAAAAGATAACCAAAGAAAGTGGAGACACAATTGACTGGCAGCATCAAGGCTACAGTGAGAAAGTGCTGTGAAAGAATTAATAAAGCGAAAAGAAAGGCTGTCTCTAGCAAAGACGGTTTTAGTGGTTTTTTTACACTGCAAAGTTGAAATGGGCAAAAGTGAAATATTCTTGCATAGAATAAAGAATATTAATTAGGCTGGGCAAATTGGATTGTGCAAGGCTGAAAACCACATTGGCAATTAGAGAAGCCCTTGCAAGTAGGAGTTAGTGTTACACCCAGAACATATGCAGCTACAGCTCGGTGCCCTTTTCGTGATGTAAAAATGTAAAATGGGGTGTTTTATAAAAACTAAATACTCTCAGTTATTGTAGGTATGTTTTCAGATGGTCTGCCTTCTCATTTTCAAATGTGATTAGGGTCTCCTAGGATTTCCCAGCCTACAGACAGGCAGCTGGATCTCCTTTCTAAGAGTCAGTCTAGAATCACAGACAGAACCAAGCATAGGTGTCAGTCTGATCTCTGTTTGAATACTGGTTCCTCCTCTGTCTTACTATTGATGTGTCCTTGGGCAAGTTACTTAATCTTTCTGGAGTTACAGAGATTACAGTGCTTAACATGAAGATTAAAGATAATTCCTGGTACCCAGTGACAGTAAAGGCATTGGAGCAGTTGCTCTTCTTATCAAGACCTGTTGGTGCAGCACTTTAATTTCAATGTGGCCAAAGAATCATTTCTATGGAGGAAAGTAACAAGGGAATAATTTGAGGCAAAATCATAAATGGCTTGGAAGGCATTCTAAGAAGTTCTTTCTGCAGGACATGGGTAGCTTCAGCAGTGCATGATAAAAAGGAAAAGTATGGGAATTGTCTCATAGGGCAGAATCTAATATATAGTTATTGATAAACTGTCTTCTCATATTCTGGGAGAGTAAGTATGGCACATTGGAAAAACTTTCAGGAGGTACCTTCATTTTTAGAAATAAAGTGGTTTCTTTCTATCAGCTCTTTGATCTCCACACTTTTGATTGTATATTTTCATCAATCACCTTTTTAACATGTACCATCTTATCTTTTATTTATAATTATATTCATGAATGATATACTAAAATTATGTAGATTATAAAATATATTCAAAATAGAAATATTAATGTGAACTAAAGATCATATAAATTTTAAAATGATTTTTATGTTTTACTAATAATTTTTATGTTTTGTTTTACATTGTTTTGCTCTTATTAGAAATAATTATTTTTTGAGAGTTCTGCGATTAACTATACTTAAGTCTTCTTTAAAATGTTGATTTAATACCTTGAAATACGGCAATTTCAAGATCAGTTTATTTCTAATCTTTCTTTTAAAAAGCCATGGCCAAAAAAGACACCATACAAGGATACTAGCAAAGTTGCACCATTAGCTGGTTACAAACCATGAGCCTCATTTTACTGATATAATCTTATCTATCAATTATGCAAAGGTTTTTGGTAAAATTCAACTGGTAAATTACCATCTTCCCTGATGTCTACCAATTGTTTCTAAAACTAATCAGAAGGCGTTGTATTTTCTTATTTTTAACAAATGGGCCTAGAACCCACTGAAACTATTTTTTGACAGATTAGTTTACAGATGGAATATTCTCTTACCAGAATTTTAAAGTAGGGAATTATGAGAGAGTTTGAACAGGTCATGAATTTATATCTTTTTGAGCAAAATGTCATGTCAGAAACATTTCCAAACATCTGTCTTTAAAATACTCTACATGGCATGTCTTCCCTTCAAAAGCATACCTTTGTCTTGCATTGCTAAAAATCATCACTTTTATCTTGATACGACAGATTAAAAGTTTTTATTATTTCTTATGTCCTAAAATAGCTATTCAGTAGCACACTATTTATAGCTACTTACCTTCACAGGAAAGGACAGCACTTTGTCTTTTTTGTAAAAGAAAATATATAACTTATTTAAGTTTGCTATGATTTAACCAGCAAAGATCTATCTAGCACAAAGTATTTTCTTGATCACTCCGCATCATGTGTTAGAGTATTTTAAAATTTCTACTTTATAATATGATGTAACCCAGAAATCGATTTAACCTGTCACAGAAAGCAGCTGTGTGTTGTAATGTGCTGGAATCAAACTGTTGATCGTGACAATGGCATCCGCTCCACACTGTGTAGTCCCACCTCCCTTGGGACATGTGGTGGAAGATAGGTGACAAATGAGTCTGGTCTGAGAACACCAGAGTCAATCTGTATATTAAATAAAAGTAACATTTGTGTCTTCTTATTTAGGTTTCATCTACAGTTGTGTTTATGTTTGCAGGTGTGCATGGATGTGTGCATTATATAAAATGTGGTATTTGTACCTACATCTCAGTGGGCCATTTTACATCCCCACTTTGCAAGCCCTACTTGAGATTAATTTCTTCATGGGTTTTTGGTGTTGATGAGACTAAATCTACTCCCAGAATATAAAGGCAAGTTTAGTCAATGATCCACAAGACTCAGGCTCAAGTACATGCCTTTTAGAAAATTCCTACGATGCATTTCTCTTCACTTGGCTAGTGTAAAAAGACACAGATTTGAGAGGGATTTTACTGTGTTGAATTTGTGAGCTGAGTGTGAAATAAAGTAGAATATCATGTCAATGATTATTATAAGTCGTTAGTTTGTTGGTAGTTATGTCTGCCTGTTTAAGAAACATAGGGATTGTGATATCATATACATGCTCTGCCGTTGTATATTGTTTGTTGTGGGGTTTTAAAATTTTTTTTTATCTTGTTTTGTCAGTGTGTGTGCATGTATGTATGCATGCACACTATCTATCCATCTTTAAAAAATCTAAACCTAGGAAAAACCAGTAAAAATAGAGAAGGAAGCAATGTATCATAATCCCTTGTAACTTTCCAGCACAGTGACTAGCGCGTGATGGACTAGCATGTCAGGTCACTGCTGATTTTTAACACTGGAGTTCAGCCATTACTATTTGAGGGGTTTTGCTCCCACAGCTGCTAAGTGAAAAGTGCAATTTACTTTTATGTAGAATGGAAAAACTCTCTCCAGCCTTTACACCCTAAGTTTTAGTTTCTATCATAAAAAGAGAGTTACATGGTAAGGTGAATCATTTGGTCATGATGGTCACCATGACTTCACAACTTTTGCGATAACTGGGCTGTTTTCCTCTCTCCCTTTTCCAGACCACAGTAGCCTCTTGATGGATAAGATGGTTAGTGGAGTAGCTTTTAGTCCATCCATTGTTCCATTTCCATTTTAAGAAGCCACTTAATAGACAGTAAAATTCTAAATGAGTTGAATTCTCTGTGTGCAATTTTATATACTGATTCATGGTGGGCATGGGATAGTGATTTAGAGCCCATTTAGATTTTTGAATGAAGAGAAAGGCTAATTTCTGCCTTGTTAACTTATCCTATGAATTTTCAATTTGACCAATTCTGAATGACTACTCCAACATTAGTTTAATTTTTTGGTTAATAGGTGGTTATAATTCATATTTATAGCTGCATTTCCGACTAGACAACATAGGCCCTAAATCCTGCCATTCTTTATAACCAGTGAATATATAGTATTTCAGGAAAAAATGTCCTTCAGCTTTTGCTGACTTTGCTGATGATACCACAAAATAGAGGAGTAATCACTTTTTAGTTGTTAATTTTAGTTTATAACAGAATTTAGCAAATGTGTTTAGAAGTCTCATACAGGAAAATTGAAATTAACTTTTTATAACATCAAAATTTGGAGGTGGATCAAAAAGTTTCTATTAAAAATGTATTCTTTCAGTTGTATTTCATCATAGAAAATCAGTTAATTATAACAATGTATATTAATATTAACCATTATATACTTAAATATTGTATTAGTATGTTAAAGTATGATGTAATGTCAATAATTTTTAAACATCATTTTCCAAAATAATAAAAATACTTATATAATCATATAAATAGGAGTGATTGTTACTAAATAAATGCTATAAAATATGTTTATCACCTTCTCCCTTTTCTTTCAATACTGAGTACTATACTTTGAGTAATATGATCACTTCTTACAAAGAATTTACATTTGCCATACCATATGTTACCTGAAAATGAACTGTACTTAAAATAACTTGAAATGATTGGCTTAGTCACAAATAGGCCTTGTGGACTGGTGAAGTGATTTTTTAGGTTAAATAAAAATTCCAAATGCATCCTTCCTTATCTTCCCCTCCAGTCATTTCTATAATTTCTGAAGTATATCTCTTCCAGCCCTAACACATTTAGTAGTTTAATCATTTATTTTTCTGAGTTTATTTATTAATTTATTTATTTTTAGAAGGATGTCTGGGCACCTGGAAATTGTTAAGAGTCATCATTTCAAGATCTTTTCTCTATATGTTATGTCCTGTCAGTAGGGAAGTTTTAAAATTGTTGTTGCAATTGTGATTCATCTGAGTAAATGAATAATAGTATCTAGCTTTATATTAAGGCATTGATAAAACTATTAGCTTTAAGACTAGAGGGAATTTTATTTCTCTAAGTTATAGTACTGGCCTGAAGGAATAAATAAGAATATATGTTCTAAGTAATTTACTGCTTAGATTTGCTATTAGTGATGAGAACTGCCTCCTATTTTTTAGAACCATCTTTCAGGATACTGCTTAATATATGTGGTGAATAACTAAATCAATTAATGTAGGTTTTCACAATATGGGTATATGCAATATTAGTGACAAACAGATTCTTTCTCTAATAGATTTTGCTGAAATTTTGTGTGCCTGCTTATTTATACCACAATATAGTAGAGGCAGTATCTATTGGCATAGCATTTAATATTTAAGTGTTTGCCTTTTATTGCTTGATATATCTTCTTGCTCTGCAGAGAACAGCACTCTTCTGCTTATTCCTCCAATTGAATGATCACTAAGTACAGGAAATTGGTTTTGTCTACAAGGTAGCAAGATGTTTGAATGAGTTAGTAACACAGGGAATGTAATTCAAGGTTAGATTTCGTTGCTCTATTTCAGGAGTTAGTAACAGGGAATGTAATTCAAAGTTAGAGTTCATTGCTCCATTTCAGGTTTTGTGGTTGGTTGTTTTAAGGATAAGGAGATGGGGCAAGTTCCAAATAGTAAAAGGAGTCAAGTTTTGCTTTAAGAGATTTGTTTGTTCTTGATTTTTTTTTTTAATGCTCTCAGACACACTTGTCAGTCCAGTCAGCACAATAAAAGAAAAAAATCAATTTGCTAAATTCATCACACTTTTCTTGTGTGTATTGGGATTTGGGACATGTCCAAGGATGTGATTCTTCACCTTGTGTTGTTTGTCTTTCCTTACAACTATGACCATTTAAACCTCACCCATATTTTTAGTCTTACCCCATTCCAAGGACAAATCTTAAGTTAAGCAGGAATGATTTTAAGAACTCAGGGCAGATAATAAGTCTAAAACAGTAATATGAGTTACTGAGCAATAATTATGTTGGGGGCTTTATATATTCTCAATTAATCCTCACATTGACCCTACAAATTAGACATCATTCCTCCAAATGCACACATGAGGAAATTATTTCTTAGGAATCCATACTGTGCATTTGGGAACATTGAAAGGATAGCAGGACACGACCATCTTGGAAGACAATTTAGTATTTTCAGTCATGCAAAGGAGCCAATATTTTAAATCAATAGTTCAAATGACAGCATATGAGGATGGATTTCTATGGTATATTCTATGATATATATATATATGCATATATGTGTATATACACACCCACATATATATCTCAAAATGTATTTTTAGGAACAGTGAAAAAGATACAAAGATTATATACCAAATCATTAACCTTGGATAGTATAATATTAGGATTAAAGGGTTAGGTATACTTTCATATTACTTTGTAGACTTAATTTTTTATCAAATAGGGTATTAAGTTTGAAATTTAGTAGAAAAGTTTGTTCTCTGGCTGACATACTATTGCCATGATTTGTCATCCAGGAAACAAACTTCAACCATAAATCATATAAATAGATATCTTAGCTTTACTAATATTTTACAATTATAAAGAATTACCCACTTCTCATTTAAAAAAACAGATTTTCATGATCAACAACATAATGCAAAAGAAAACTTGAAGAACAACCACAGTTTACCTTTGATATTATTCAAAATCATTTGGTTGAAAGGCTAAGACATAAATCAAATATATATTTTCTAGAACATACTATTTTTTTCATTATGCACTTAACATTTACATATTTTTATAGCTCTATTTGTATAGAAATCATAGTGTTTATTATTGATGGCTTTCTCTTTGCTGTCCTCATAAACGTAATCCCTGGTAGCTTAGCACCCGTGAGTAACCTAGCAACAAATCTACTCTCTAGCAAGTAAAAAATAAATGCAAACAAACTGTTATGGAAAAAGCATAGAGTTTAAGAATATCATTGTATGCATATTATTAAATATCAAGATACAAAGTTCCAATTTTTGAGAAATTGCATGACAGTAGGTATTAAATTTCGTGTTAGATAATATGATTGCCTGCCTCTTTTATTCAGAAAAAAGTGGGATCTATTTCAGACTGTACTACTGTTAACTAGGTAACTGAATATATGTGTTTTCTCTGGCAGCCTATTCATTACAGATTAGATGAGAAGAGAGTCTTGGCATGCTTTTGCTATATGGCAGATGAGTTTACTAGATTGAGTTTCACCAATAAACCTTTCTGACAGTGATGCATTGCTCATCCCTTAAACAGTTTTAGAGTAATGTTGTATCTTATTTTCAAGGGGTTGTACTTATTGTATTATACTTTTGGGGGGGGTCAATTTTTGAAAATACCAGGACAAAATTACACTTTGTGTTGCACATTTTAAGACTTTGATATATTTAATGTTGATTTATTTGGGGTGAGATTTAACTTCTATATTTGCTGATTATTTTCCCTAGGAAAATAACTCTCCTCTGTTGTAGTTTTCAGTTCATAAAGGAAGAATATCAGTTATTAGGGAAAAGCTGCAATTTCATATGATCATCATTTATGTGATGTTAGACCCAGGTAGGAAAGGAAACAGACACTGATAAATACCTTCCACTAAATAGCACAGCTTCTATTCTATGCTGGGGCAGAATTACATGGCCCTTATCAATGTGACGGGTAGTTTACTGCACTTCAAGAAATCTTAGAGCCCTAGGGAATATTGAGGTAAAGGACAGCAGGACAAGTGTGGGCTGAACATGTATGATTGTGCAGTTACAATGAATGCACAGAGTTGTAAAACTAGAAAGCATCTGCTCCCTAGTAGAGTTGTTTTTTTTTCCAGAATGCCCTTAGTTTTATATTATTTTTATACTCCAACCTTAAATGTCCCTGAACTGTTGCTCCAGTCATGATTACTACATGAATGCAACTCTGACTTCTTTCTCTCATTGTCCTTCCAGAGCCTTCCTCACCAGGGAAAAGGCGATAAAATTTGTGAGACCCTTAAAGAGAAGGCTGAACCTATTTAATAAGATAGTTGGATTTCGCTGTATGTGAAAAGTTTGGTTACTTATCTGATGTGTATTAAAGTGAATCACCTTGAATAAATGAAGGAAGAATATTCCTTACATGAAAAACTCACCAACCCTTGGAGATAACTAGCTATTATACAATTGGATAGTCTGGTTGCATGAAATTTATAGCCAAAATGTCCTGATAGAAAGATACTACTTGTCACAGCTGCAGTCACTGGTTAATTTCAGGAAAATGGCTTTTTAGATGTGACATGGGCACATTAACTCCCCCTTCCACACAAATGTCTCAATGGAGTCATATTGTTGAAAAGTACATCCTTCCTTTTAGGAAGTTGAGGTTCTGGAGGGCAGGGACAAACTTTATTTGTGTTTTTATCCAGTATTTACTATAGTGTGTTATACACTATGATCTTGTAACAAATGACTGATCTCTTTTTTCAATTAGCATTTGTAGATATGTTAGAAAGATCCATGACAACCATGGAAGTTATATTAAAATAACCTAAGCTACATAATATACATTACAAAAAGATCAAACACTCAAATAATGTATGCCTTTGTAGAGGAGATAAAGTTTAAACATTTATTATAGACATAAATTAATTGCCAGAAAAGCATTATTACCTTGTAAAGTTGACCTAAAAGGAACTTTACTTGTTATTGCAGGTTTGGTTACAAAAGTACGGCTACCTTCCACCAACTGACCCCAGAATGTCGGTGCTGCGCTCTGCAGAGACCATGCAGTCCGCCCTAGCTGCCATGCAGCAGTTCTATGGCATTAACATGACAGGAAAAGTGGACAGAAACACAATCGAGTAAGTAATGGCACCCATACTCCTTCCCTTCGGGCTCTTCAGCCAAACTAAGTAGTCTGAAAAACTATATGTGAACTCCACCAACCACAAAGGGAGTGATCTGTCTCATCAACTTTTCTTTGGCATTAGCCTGATTGATCTCTACTTCCCTGAAATTTCATAAACTATTTAAGGCCTCAAAGTCAAGTTCACTCACCTGACTTTAGCAACACACTTTCAAATTAGGGAAGAACATATGAATGAGAGTCAAAGTAAGTGTACAGTTGAAGCCACTACAAAAATAAGTGGCAATGAGTGATAGAGCTAGTCTGTGTGGCTGGTGAAAGTACATTGTGCACATCTCTTCCAAAATCTCTGTTAATTGATATTGCACTAGGTGCTTGAAATTGGTGATAATGGAAATATTTACACCATGTAAATTGGGGAGCAACACAAATTCAGGCATTTGAACAACACAAATTCAGGGGTGGTACAGAAACCTGGTTGTTAACAATTTGCTAACTTCTCACTGGTAACAATTCTCTAAATGAGTGAAATCAAAAAGGGTTTTCACTGGCAAGTCTCTACTTTGAATTTCTTATTAATGAATGGCTTGTTCTAATTCTTTAATATTTGTTTTCAATTGACTGGCTTATTAATCACTTGTTCACTTATTTATTCGACCAGTAACTCTTTATCTGTGAAAGAGACAGGTACAGATTCAGAAAATATATTCTCTTCATCAGAGGAACCTTGTTATCTGCATAGCTAGACATAGTCACAAATTATTTTGCCACAGGCACTCAGTAAGTTTCATCATAATATGAAACAGCATTACTGTTTTTGGACAGCAAAAGGGGAAATGATTAATTCTTTCAGTGGAGGGAAAAAAATCATTTGTGTTTTTAGAGTCCTTGATATTTACAAAGTGAATCTATGTCTATTATAAACTTGATCATCATATATCAACCTTCCACAGTAGGGAAGACAAAGATATGTTTTTTGTTTTTTTTTTCTTTTTCTCTGCTTCCTTAAATAAAGGAACTGAATGCCAAAAACTAAGTGAAGTCCATGGTGGTTATAGAACCCAGGTTTTTTGACATTTAGCCAGGGCAACTTTCCCTGATGTGTACCTTGAGAAACAACATGTCTGTTTATCCTTTGAAGCCTTAGAGACCTAAAGTATCTGGGCTCAGACGCTGACATTCTGACATACCAAACTAATTTAATATACAATTTTGAAAATATATTTTGCTTTTAATGGTCACAGTATGGTGTTAGTCATAGCACTTCTATTTAATCAGACAGGAAAGCATGTAACAAAGGCTTTGAGATTAAATGTCAAAGCAGTTTGAAAAAAAAGATATATTACCTTCCCAAGCACTTTTAAGAGATACATAAATATAAAATTTGTTCTACATCTTGGAAAACAGATTCAAGAATAAATATAACACATTCTGCCACAATTAGAAAATTGTCAATATTGGGAATGGAATTTTGATATTTTGGACCTGTTGCTCTCTGTTACCATTTTCTCTTAATAGTGTAATATCAATATTTCAAGTCATAATATGCCCCTTGTCCTAAATAAATATGGTTTTAAGTTAATAAGCAAAAACCTCCAGCAGATTCTATGTTTTGTCACTGTATATAGTACAGAAAGAATTCCACTTAAATTGTTCTCTTCATCCCAGCATTTAACAGAGTACTCTGCAGCTTTCTTACTCCCTGATGGAGAACTTTTAGCTTGATTCATTTTCTTGGAAAACGTGATGCAATTCCTAAAAATTCAAATAAATTTAGCTTTGGGAAACAAATTACGTTAAATTGTTTGAATGTCTAACTTGACTAGAGCCAGCATAAGAAGGAATTATTTACTACTTATCACTAAATGTTAAAATTTAAAAAGTAGAGTCCTAGAAAAGGTGGCATCTGCATTTCCACCAGTTTTGAAAGCTCCCGTTGGTGATTGGAAGGACTCAGGGTGGAAACATTTTATTTCCTAAAGCTGCAGGGAAAAGGTCTTTGTCAGGAGATAAAGGAAGAGGAAAGTGTGCAGGGATTATTTGGGCACTTCCTGTGGAAAGGGGTCTGAACAGTTCATTGTTCTCTGGAAGGAGGATGTAAGAAATGTGGAGATGTAGAGAAGGACATGGGTCTTTTGTGGGCATAGAGTGGCTCAAATTCCAGACCAGAAGAAATGACGGTGTAAGTGGGTAGGAGTTAAAGTAGCATTTCTGTGATAGAGCATTATAGACAAGAGACCAACTACATATATATAGGTAGCCCCTAAATTAAAAGCAAAGTGTTTTTCTTTTTTTTTTTTTTTTTTTTTGGCTTGTTTTTTTTGTTTGTTTGGTTAGTTGGTTTTGGTTTTGGTGGGGTTTGTTTGTTTTTCCTTAAACAAATCCTTTTTCTAATTCAATTATTTTATTATTATTTAGGAAATGGTAATGCATCTTTCCCCTTAAAGAGTGTTATAGCTAGTCGTTATTTCTAGGTGAAACCACTAAAGCCTTGTTAAATCCTTCTCATCTCCCCTTCCTATCCTGCCCTGCTCCCTTTGGTCCCTATATCTGCTTGGAGACTTCACTCTCTTGTCCCTGGAGCTAGAAACCCTGTAGCTTCATTTGCTTCATTCCTAGTTTTTCACTGATGTGTCTCTACTCTTGAGATGCTGTTGCTCAGGGTATGCAGCTCAAATAGTGTATTATTTTCGGAATGATAATCCCCATAATCATGCTATTAAAGCAATCATCTGTGCTTTTGTAATCTCAAATGAATATGTGGTAACAATCCATGCTGAAATCGCACTCTATTATTTCGCATACTCAAATTATAAGGTATGAATTTCTATCTGAGCCTTATTACATAAAATATGGACTACAGTTATAGACCCAAATTATTCCTCAGTTTTAATATAATGTTTTATCCATTTTCAGATGCTATAAACTCTTATCTCATTTTAGCATCTTTTTAAGATCAGTTGTTTTTAAATTAAATAATTACATCCTCCTTTGGCAGACAAACATGGTCTATTCAATCAATGATTCTTGAATAATTAAAAGTAATAATGACAATTGTGGTAATCCCCTATATTATGTTGAAGAAATTAACCATTTTCAAGTAATAAATTAAGGTATTTATTACCTTAAATGGTATATTATATTGCTTTTATATTAATTAGCAGTGGTGTTAGATAATAATAAATACTTATTTACTCCCACAAAATGAGTTCATTATCTTATCATTAAAATTATGGATTGGTTAGCTAATGTTTGGAAGCAAGCTCACTTAAGTTCCTTAATGAATGGAATAATCCATATTATACATAAAAAGTGTATATTTAGCAAAGAGAGAAAAAATAGCAATGTAATTAAAAAATTAGTCTGATATGTTTCTGTAATGTTAATAGTAATTTTTTAATATTAATCTTGATATCCACACAGTGGTATGCCCCTAAGCATGCTTGATGAGATATTTCTAAAAGTGGCAAATCTTTTTGATATCTCTCTCATATAAAATTTAATGTATATATTTTATATATGTATAACTTAATATATTGGATTATCTGAGTAACATTGCTTACTTTATTCAAACCATGCCCAGAAATTTAACTTAATCAAAGTTAATATCAGGCTGAATAAGTAGCCTTTTTCCAAAGAATTATTAGAAAATGATACTGTTATTTGAACTCCTAATTTGATAATTGAAATATTTATTTAGATATATCAAGAACCCCTAAAATTTTTGGCTTAATTATCAATATGTTTAATGATTTTTATTCCTTTTTCTAAATTATCAAGTTAATATCCTCTCTCTTCTTTTTCAATTTGTTTATAAAAGATATATTTTTCAGTAAGTAGAGCTATTTTTATTTCTAAATATATACTGTCACATTATAGGATGGGTCAGTCCTCATTTTGGTAGCAGCAGAGGGATGGTTGATAGCCAGTGAGCAGGGACCTTAGATACCCATTATGAAGGATAAAAGGTGAAAGAATTAGCGCTGACACTAACTGAACTTTTGTTCACATTGAAGATCATGGTGACTTAATGTATTTCCTTTCTGTGCTCAAGTGTTTTAGTGCTTTAACTTTATCATTTCAGCCTTGTGAATACCATGTGTGTCTATGCAGCCTGACCATGAGTTCATAGAAAAAAAGAGACTCTTAGGGAGGGGGGGAAATGGGCATTTATTGAAACCTTAAAATCTGTACCCCCATAATATGCCAAAATAAAAAAAAAAAAAAAAAAAGAGACTCTGGACCAGAGTAAGGGGTCAGGCCTCAGCATTTTAAACCCTCTAAGTTACTTTTAAATATCCTCTCATGACTACTGGACTTGACTCTTTGAATATAAACAAAACTTAAAACTTTTTAAGGTAATGAAAATAAGCATAGTTTAGAATTTCTAGAAGGATCTCTTGAGGACTACTATAAATAGTAAATACTACTTGTAATTAAAACTTCAAAAAGTCTGGAGGATGGAAACCTGTTAAACCTATTGTGCTGATGTATATTATTGACTTCTAATTGATAAGGCACAAAATACATTTTTGGGTGTCATTTCTTTTCTCTTGATAAAGGTAGGAATAGGTATACAGAGCCACTATGTGACAACTCCAAGTGCAAAGAGTGGCATTCCCATTGTATTCCATAGAATCACTGTCTTTCTGCAGCACCACTATAGGAGCAGCAGGGACATAGACTATAACTTAAAAGCACCTCTTGGAGACATGCAGTGGGTTGTCTTATGTGTTTAGCCTGAACCATCACCTTATTTTTTAAAATATATTTTACTGAAGCTAGTAGACACTGTTTCATATGCAGTGTGTACATATATTTATATATATGTACACACACTCACATACACACATATACATATATTGCATATTGTTTAGAAGCTTCTGGTTATTTTATTTAAATAAAACAGGGGATTATATAGCTGTTGGTGTTTCTGTTATCAAAGTACCAGGAAGATCCCTGTTTTGAATAACATAAAAGACTGCGTGTTAACAT